GGTAGCCTAGGAAAGAAAGGTTCAATTTGTCGATAATTGGAGAGAAGAGATTCAACGTTTCCGATTCGCAAGCGCTCTGTGGAAGAAATGAGGAAGCAAACCAGATAGGAAAGAAATGAAGGACGTCCGTACGAATGGATACGCGAGAAAAGGAAAGAGGAAGGAGGAGGGAAATGATGGAAAGGGAAACGAGAATGACAAAAGTGGACTGACAAAAAAAAAAGAAAAAAAAAGAGGAAGAACGTCCATGTGAATATCCCCAAAAGAAAAGAATGAGAGTGTCAAAGGCAGTAGGAAGAAGGGGGAAGGGGGGGGGGGGGGGGGGGGGGAGGACGAGGGAAGAGGACGGGGCTCGGGAAGAGGATGTCGCTAAGGGGCAGGGGAGAGAGAGAAAGAGAGCGAGCGAGAGAGAGAGAGAGAGAGAGAGAGAGAGAGAGAGAGAGTTAACTCGTATTGTAGATGTAGATGAGGAGAGGAGGAGAGGAGGAGAGGAGGCGAGGAGGGTTGGGAAAGTTCGTTAGTGTGGAGCGAACTCCGTTGATGGTCGCTGAGGTTAGAATGGAGGGAATCGATAGAAAATCTATTTAAAATTTTAAATAGCAAATTACAAAAATAGCAAATTCGTCGAAGTAGAGTGCGAGGAGTTCCTGAGGGTGGTAGTTTGCGCTCCTATGGCCCCCAATCCCCAGACTGTGCTACCGTCTTCCCCCGAATAGAACGTACCAGTCATTATGCGTCTCTCTTTTGGGCAACTTTCAGTCTAGGTACAGCGATAATGACCGGACGTTCTATTCGGGTGAAGAGGAGGGGACCTAGGAGCAGCGGCTTTTGACATCTGCGCGAGGAATGTCTAGATACAGGCTTCCACGAATAGAACGTACGGTCATTATGCGCGTATTTTGGGCAACTTTCAGTCTAGATACAGGCTTCCCCGATAATGACGGGACGTTCAATTCGCTTGAACGAACGTGGGACTAACTAAATCAAAACAAGGGAGGAGAGCCAGGATGGAGTTAAAGGCAAGACAGGGGGCCGATGTAGCCAAGGCCGAGATCCAAAGAAGGAGGGGGGGGGAGGGAGGAGGGGTGAAGGAAGGGTGCGTAACAGAAGTGGGAAGAAGAAAGGAGGGGGAGAAGAAAGGAGGGGGAGGAAGAAAGGAATCGGGAGAAGAAAAGGGGGGGGTGGAAAAGAAAGGGGGGGGAGGCGGGAGAGAAGGGATACACACATATGGTAGCTCTTAATGAAAAGATCACGGAGTTCAAATGCTGATGGCTAGCCTCTCTTTTCCAAAGCCGAAAGCAAAGAATGGGTCTAGCTACAAAAGGATGGGGTGATTAAAATAAAAAGGGACGATTGAAAGAAACAATGGGGATAGGAAAGATGAAAAAGAAACGATGGGGATAGGAGAGAAAAGAAGGGTGGGAGATGGAAGAAAAAGAATCAAAGGAGAGATGGGGAAGAAAACACGTGGGAGAGAAGAAGAGAGATGGAGGAGGATGAAAGGAAGGGTGGAAGTTGGGGGTTATGATGGATTGGTTCTAAAATGTGGTCGGCAAAAATGAAGCAGTTTGCATACGAGAGAACGAGGGATAGGAGGAGGGAGAGAGAAAAGGTAGACGATCGTTGGTGGTTGAGCAGGCCAGCTTTGGGAGGAGGAAACGGGGCAGAAAGCAGCGGTTTGCAGACACAAGTTGCATGTGGCGAGAGAGAGAGAGAGAGAGAGAGAGAGAGGGAGACTTCACAACGAGAAGAAGAGCGATCCGGAAAGAGAGAACCAGTGAAAACGAAGAGTAGATTGGATTGGAAGTCAACAAACAAGAGAGAGAGAGAGAGAGAGAGAGAGAGAGAGAGAGAGAGAGAGAGAGAGAGAGAGAGAGAGAGAGAGAGAG